AAAGCTCCTGGCCAAAAGCGGTGAGCTTTTGTCGACCCGCCTTTGCTGGAAGGGCAGGCCCCAACTCCCTCCCGGCTCCGCCACCACCCGCACGGGCGGCGCACCCAGCTCTCCCTGCCCCGGCCGGAACGGCTCTCCCCTTCACGGGGAAAAGCCGGGCACCGATCTTGTTTCCCGCACTCTTCTTGCCTCCTTACCGTCCCTGCGCAGCTTAAGTTTCCCTAAAGCCGTTTTCGGAGTTGGTAGCTTGTTAATTTGGATTTACCCTTATTGCTTTCGGTCGCTTAAACTCCTTGATCGTACCTGAAACTCCTGTACCTCTGGCCCCTGACATTGTGTGTTTAGGCACAGTTTGGGTACTTAACTGGAGTTAGGGAAGAAATTTAATGCGCGGCAAAACTCGTCCCCTCATTCCTTTCCTACCACTGAGAGAGCAGAAACCCTTCTCCATAATTACATCTGCTAGGGCTTAGTTACACGGAATAACATTTACTCGTTGGCCTCTTGAACAGTTTGGTCGGTTTTGGCCAGTAAACCAGCATTATTTAGCCTGAAGAGTTAATTACTATAAACTGAATATCTATATCGAGCTATGTGCATACTGCATTGGCATTGTAGGAGCCATATGCTGCAACTTTTATGCTTTTTTTTTTATCCGTTTGTTTACTTCTAATTTGAGGTCTAACTGGGGAAGTACTTTCCCCTAGTAGAATAAAATAACGATAACAGCATCTCTGAGTTTCCTAAAGAAAAACGTGCGGGTTTGGAATTTGGTTTTTTTTTTCTTTTCCTTTTTTTTTTTTTTTGCCTTTACCCTGGGAAGTGGCTAAGTTTGGGTGTTTGACATTAATAGGCAAAGACAGCCTTTGAGGAGGACTGCTGTTAGCTTTCCTGCAAACGCTCCAACCCTCAGAGGGCTGTTTGTTTGATTTGCCAATGGTTAAGCAAGATTTGGCCTGGCTGAGCTACTCGCGCCCTGCCTAGCTTGGAGGGAAGCCCGAGAACGCTCTTTTCAGAGGAGCGGGAGGAAGGTTGGGCGTGTGTTTCCCACCTGAGTTGTAGTTGACGATGTCCACTCCCAAGGCAGGGCTCTTTCGTTTCCTGGGCCTCCCCTTCTGGACTGTGCCAGTGCCGTTGAAGTAAGGCAGGGCCAGCCCTCCGCTCTTGGCAGCCAGCTCGGTGTAGCTCAGCTGAGGGGGATATTCTCCTTGCAAAAGGGACTCGAAGTGGGCCCTGCAGTAAACCAGGTTGTCCTTCATGCCAAAGTGATCGCCTGTGGTCAGAGTCTTGTTGCAGGTGGTGCAGGTGAAGCAGCTCAGGTGATAAACCGACTCCCTGGCTCTCATGACCATTTCGGAGGCTGAGATCCCAAGGTGGCAGCGGGCACATCTCTGCACGGAGAACCTTCTGAAGGAAACAGAAAAGTGGGCATCAACTAGAAAGGTAAAGGCAGACCTCGCCCCAGGGCCGCCCAGCC